TGCGATCCCCCCCCACCCGCTGCCCCGCCTGCCCTCACCCCTCCCGCCACCTGTGATGGCCCCCCAGACAAGGCCACGTCTGCAGCCGCCTCGAGCGTGGTGTCAGCGGTGTCCGTAAGCGAACCACGCCCTCTTGCGCGTCGGTTGGTGGAGTCATACGTGGCGGTGGCGAGTGATTTCCCCCGCCCTCTCTGGCTGCCGTCGTGGCGTCAACGTCGACGACGTCTTCCAGTGCTGGCCGCCCCTCTGCGCGTCTTCTTTCGCCAGCGTCGTCTATGCGGATGCCGCCACTCCCCCGCCTGGACGACTTCCGCTGCAACAGCATGTCGTCAGAGTCTTCGAAATCCGTCCCCTCCTGCGTCGCCACGTCCTCCGGCACCCACTCTTCATCCAGCACGTAACCTCTATGTGCCGGGGCGCCTTCGAGGATCTTCCTGTTCTTGGTGGCCATGTGGCGGCCCTTCTTCTCCCGGGGCGCCGATTGTTGTGAGAGGTTGGCGGCGGCCTTGCTGCGTGCCGAAGCTCGTGAGGACATGGCGCAAGACGCACCCGCGGTGACGATGACAATCTGGACGACGAAGGCGAGGATGTACGGAAAGGCGACGATGGCAGTGAAGACGACGAGCGAAAAGACGTGCTCGCCAAGGAGAAGACGCAAGCAGTGAAGAGAACTACGTTGGCGACGGACGCGGCGACGATGGCAATGACGGCGGCGATGTTGAACAAAAAGGCTCGATGGCGACGATGGCGACGAAGGCGCGGATGCAGGCTACGAAGGCGACTCGAGTGGCGCAGACGACTGCGACCAAAAGCAGAACAAGTGTGGCGGGCGGCGGGGACTGCATGAGGTAGAGAGAGAGAAAGTGTTGTCGTGCATTTGCGCAGACGCCCGCATCCTTATAAACACGTGTCACGTGGGGTGGACGGCAGCACAGACGCAGCGCGAAGGCCAGCGGAGGGTCATTTCCAAGCTCCACCAAAAGACAAGAAAAACGCAGGGTCATCACGGAGGGCGAGACGAAAGGCGAAGGGTTGCGGGCAACGCGGCCGTGCATCCGTTGCGCCACCGCCCTTCGTCTCACCTCCCCTCGTCGATTGTGGACACGGACCCCACAGGCCGAAATTAAGCCCCCACAAACGACTCCATCCCACTCTCCCATCGTCCACACTCCATGCCAGCCATGAACGAGGACCGAACTCGCCTCCTACCCCGGAAAGCCGCGAAAACCAACCCCCCCCCCCCCCCCCCCCCCCCCCCCCCCCCCCCCCCCCCCCCCCCCCCCCCCCCAACCGCCCCCTACCCCGACCCCCCAACATGGCATGCATATTCGCCTGGACGGGTTCAATATTCCCCCTCCCGAACTCCGAAATAAAGCACCCCGCCCGACTTTCTAAGAGATAACGAAAACATGTAAATAGACCAACACAAAACACACAACACAACGTGCATTTCGTACAGCTGTCCTGTCTCAACATCCGCTTGTAGGGGGACGTTTGATCGAACCCAAGTACGCTTGTACTCAATCGACGACTAATTGGGTGTATGCACAACATTAGCAAATGCATGCCCAAAAAAGAACGGCGGCACAGACAACACCTTCATGGCACCATTGCATTTCGTTTCAGGAGAATACACCGAAACACACGCTGGAGAGAAAGAGGGAGCCCATTTCGATTGAACACAAAAAATCCGAAAAACAACGGCATTAAAGACAACACCTTTATTGCACCTCTGCATTTCATTTACGGCAAAGACACAAAGAAACGAGAGAGAGAGAGAACGAAATCGATGTGGTCATGTAAAAAAGGAAAGTGCATACTACGCTTCATCGATGCCAATTAGAATACAGAGTTGATGGAATCATCCATCCCGTCACACAATCGAGGCCAACAACAAACGAAACGAATGATGTAAAAAAAAAAAACAAATTTAAAAACGAAAACAAATTTCACTGAAGGACTCTTCGACCGAATCGGACCAGTACCCAATTCCTTGGCCAGCACCGCCATTGGGGGAACGACACATCGACGACGACGGCGATGGCTAAGCTAAGCTACAACGACGACGGAAAGACTATCACTTTCGCTCCGTCCAATTTCATTCAAGCGAACAGAGAGCACAACAGAGGCGACACTACGTCTAACGTTTGCTTATGGCCTTCACTATCTCCAGCAAGGCGTGACACATAAGCTTGCTGACTTCGTCTGACGCTGCGTAGTGTTTTTTCTGCACTTCGATCTCCACTTCCAACGCCTCGCACTGACGTATGGCGATGGAGCAATGATGTTTGTTGTTGCTCTCCATCGTTGACGCCATTAACGCCCCGTGCTTCTCCATGCAATCCGTCATTGCCTCAAATGTTTGCTGCCTTGTGCTCTTCCTCTTGCTGAAACCGCCTGCGCCACCCGTCATCTGCGAAGAACCTTTGGTGGACCCGTCGTCGTCGTCGTCGTGCTCTGCACCACCGTCCCCGTCGTCCACAGATTCAGGATCCGCAGAGAAGCCGGACGACAGACGCACACCACCCTGAGCGCCAATGTCCGCGACGTTCTTCGGGTTTATGGTGTGGTTCTTGGCGGTCGACCCCAGTATCTCGTCGTAAACCGCACGATCCATATTGAAACTGAAGCCCTTCGACATCCTGTCCTTCCCAGACAATTGGAAGAAGTCCTGTTTCCTGGACAGTCCTTGGAAATGATGAACCTTCTTGAACTGCTGCATCAGATTGTCCCACTTCTTCCCGCACCGATCGGCCTCTCTGTCGACGCCCACCTTCTTCAACCTCGTCACCACATCCAGACACTTCCATTCTCGCGGCTTCATCCGAGCGTACGCGTGGCCCATCCCCTGCAAATGCGCATCCTGATCACGTTTAGCCCTGATGAGGGCTATAATGTCGTCGACGGACTAGAAGTGACGACCTCCTTCACCATCGACGTCACCTTTGGCATCGCTGCCCTTGCCTGCCGTCCTTTTGCCCCGACGACCATTACCGCCACACGACTTCGTCTTCCCGCCCCTCCCTCCCATAGCGGCCGCCTGCTTCGACGACGAAATGTTGCCTGCGTCGTCCTCCCAACCTTCAGCGCCGTTGTCGTTCCAGTCGGGGTCGTGCGCGTCCGCCCCTGCTTCCTCGCCGTCGTGCCCGTCTTCCCCAACACGCAATCGCTGCACCCCCCGAGTTATGGACTCCTCCTACACCGACCTCATCAACCGTCGCTGTTCTACCCACACCTCCCTTCCGTCACGTGCATCACCAACATCAGCAACGGCAGGCGTCGTCTCCCTACACTCGCCAACACGACGACCTGCACTCGAACCGGCGGACAGGGGAGACGGAGACTGCATCCACTGGGGGCGAGCGGAGGCACCCCTACACACAGACGGCGACCGAAATTGCTGCCTAGGAGGATCGTTGTTGTTCCCCGAAGCCTCCCGCAGCGGCGCTGGAGACCTGGGTGATCGCTGAACAGCCGTCACATCGCCGCCATCGTCGTCGGGATGGGGGTTCACGACGACCGTTCGAGAGACGACTGCCGACCTCCCGCTGCCGAGTCCAAACGACAGATTCACGCCGCCATCGCCATCGGTGTCGCTGAGCCCCTGCTGGAGGAGTTCGGTGTACGACTGCCCTTTACCGCCGTCGCGGCTTCCMAACAGCTCTGTAGCCGCCCACTCCTGGGTGGATCCGCTTCCCAGCGGCACGGTCCGTGACCGTCTATCGTCCCCTTCCTTGTCGTCCGTGTCAGGCAGAGGTTGCAAGTGCGGTGGCAGGTGCGCGTGCCCGGACCGCTCCGACGGCCTTGGACTATTCGACGGGCTGTGCCCGGACCACCGCCCACCGCGCTCCCCTGCGGACCCGCTGATCGCCTTTCGGCCCTCCATTCTGTCGTTGTTCTTCACACACCTCCTTCTGCGACCACGTCGCGGAAGGCCGCCGAGGATGCACACGTGGAAGACAACCAGGAGGAGGAGCAATAGGACGACCAGCAGCAGCAGCGGCAACCTCCGAAAGACGTCGGCCATGAAAAGCACGTGGATGACAATGGCAGCTAGTAGACAACGGGGGATCTATCACGTAACAGCGACGGACACTACTGCAAACGCCTGACCGCAACAAATGACAAAAGCACGGTAACGCATTCCGTTTGTGAACACATTGCGCAATCGCCCTGCCGGGGGATGGTTCAAATATTCGAATCTTGCGGCCATTGGGCGCCTTCCCGCTCGGGGACAAGGGCGGTGACGCAAGAAAGCCGATTTTCGACGTCGGGGAAGCGACCGGGCCGCAAAAGGGGACCGTTGGCGCACTCTTCCATGACGCCGACCGTTGCCGATAGAAGATGTCCGTCCACGGGCGCCAGGAACAACAGTGGTACAGACGGCCGTCGCAAAATGTCGCCGACAGAGCTGCCGACGACGTCCCGATTCTTCCGGATGCTCGACCTCCGAGGGACCTCGGGAGGTCCCTTCGGGAACGCGTCGAAATGGCTGTGGCCCGAGGAATCCCCGAGGAATCCCCGAGGAAATGTTTTCACATTTTTTTTTCAATTTCTTCCCCGAGGATGAGTGGAACGATCATTTCCTCGGGGGATTTACGCGCTCGAGGAGTGTGGAACGAGCCCCTAAGTCTTGGGTTGAGGTTGAGATTCAGTTTCGTTTTTCGGTTTATGGTCCTCGTGAGGCCGGCTGGGTTGCTGTGTGGGCACCCTGTGGTGAGATATTTGGGTTCTCGTGAGGCCTTTCTCTTTTTTTCCAGCACATTTGTGGTGGGTAGTTACAGGCTTAGTGTTAGTCTGAGCCTTCGGTGAGATATTTGGGTCCTCTAAGGCCTTCTCTTTTCTAGCACGGTTTTGGTGGGTATTTACAGGCTTAGTGTTAGTCTCAGCCCTCGGGTGGACTATCTGGCTCATGACCTATTGGATGGGTCCTCATGAGTCATGTGGCCTGCAGTTTGGGACTGGGTCTCCGGGTGGCCCATTTCGGTACTGATGTTTTCTTTGTCCCTGGCAGAGTTGCTGTGCATCGTTTGGTAGGATAGTCAGTCTTTATATAGATGTTCAGCGGCACTAGTTTCATTGCCGCCGTGATTCCAGCCCCTGACGATTCCGGCTCTGGCGGCCGGATGAGACATGTAGGGTCATCCGCCAGATGCCTGGACACGGTTTCTGACGATTACGGACGCGTTGTCCACTTTTTTTTTTTTTTTTTTTTTTAAGAAGAATACGGGCCCAGTGCCCAAGGCTGGTATTATCAACAAGAAACTTGAGGCCGGGGTCCTCACAGTCTACCCGGAGTGACCGAACCGAAAATGCTGAGAACCGGGCTCAGCGTCCCTCATATGATGATGATGATGATGATGATGATGATAAAGAGTAGTGTGAAAACATATAGAAGACTATGCTATATCGGCAATTCTGGCCTCCTTTTAAGATCACTGAACACCTCCTGAAATCCACCACAGTTTTCCGAACACTCGAGTATCTAAGGGATTTCCAACAGATCATAACAATACTCACTAAAACCGACTTATTCCCTGACAAACTCATCTAGGCCTCACGCCCCCTTTCTGCTAGGTTACAGAGCGACGCGCCTCACTCCAGCTCCGGCCAGTGTCGTCCTATGTCAGCAACCCCCAACTGTCCTTTAGGATGCCCCCACATAGCATCCCCAGATCTCTCTACAAGGCCTCATGCCCTCACCTTCGGCAAGTTACAGGGCATCACCCCGGCTTCGGCCAGCGTTGTTCTGGCGTTGAACAGCTACGGATCCTGAATATAACAGTCTGATTCCAGTGTAGATTCGTACAAACAGCCAGCAAACCCTCAAGAGTCCCGAGAGATTCTTCTAACTACCAGGAATAACAAGGGTGCTTGTTTTGAGAACTCAGAAAAATCAAGAAGTATAGAAATACCCCCCTGTCCCCCTCATCCCCCTGCCCCCCTCATCCCCCTGCCCCTGTCCACTTTAAGTTCGGGCTTGGGCTGTTTTTACCGTAATATTCATTGAGCCTGTCACGTCCGGGAGGAAATTTGTGCTGCGTCATATCTCTCTCCCCATCCCTTTTCTTTGCCTTCTCATCCCTCTTCTTTCTGTCTATGTACTGGTCGTTGGGTGTTTTTTTTTTTTTTTTTCCAATTTCAATTTCATATATTGCAGAATTCAATTGACGAGGCCGGGGACCTCACAATTCAACCCGGAGTTATCCCGGCAGCGTCAGCCGGTTTAGCTTAGTCTGAACTTGCAAAATCAAATGAATTCAGAAAACGAATAAAGCCGGACACACTATCTGCTACCAACCAAATCTACTACTATAGACCATAGGAGCAGAGTGATCCCCTCATCTCTCACTGTCTGAATTTCTCTGAAACACTGAAGAGCCTGAGCTGCCAAGACGGGTTTCTCACCACGCACCCAATGGATAGACCTCAAGTCTGCTTTTCACCGGTTCTCTCTTTCCTCCCGGCCAGTAGCATTCCCACTGCCCCTCGTCACACTCCCACTGTAACAGGTCCAGGTGGCACCGCTTCTAGTAGTTCCATGGTCTTCACTCCGAGCTACTCTAAATTACTTCCCTCTTCTGTTGGTGAATTTGGGCAAAAAGCCTTCACAGAACAACTGCAGGCCTATCAACTACGTTCCTTACTGACAATAGTTCCCTCTAATCTAGCCCGGCAAACTTCTCATCCTTACTGCCCAAAGCGCTGTGAATTGCCTGAGCTGCCGAGACGGGTTTCCCACCACGCACCCAATGGATACACCTCAAGTTTGCTCTTCACCGGTTCTCTCTTTCCTTCCTACCAGTAGCGTTCCCACTGCCCCTTGACCCACTCTCACTGCCCAAGGTGGCACCGCTACTATTGGCTCCGTGACTTTTGCCCTAAACTACTAAGTTACTTCCCTCTTCTATTCGTGAACTACTACCGCGACCTTCTCAAAGCAACTGCAGACATATCAACTAAATTTTGCATCCATCATGATTCCCTCAGCTCTATCAGGGCAACCTTTTCATCCGCGCTGTCCAGAGCTGCCAAGACAGTTCAGCAGTTTTCCGATTTGGGGAACTGCCGATTATTCTTGCACGATGGTGATAGGTTCATCTCTCACTGTCCAACATACTATAAGGAGCCTGAGCTGCGAAGACGGGTTTCCCACCACGCACCCAATGGATACACACGACTGCTCTTCATCAGTTCTCTCCGTCGATCCGACCAGTAGCGTTCCCACTGCCCCTTGTAACACTCTCACTGTTGAAGGTGGCACCACTACTAGGAGTTCCATGATGAACTTCACCCTGAACCAATCTAATTTACTTCGCTCTTCTCAGTTGTAAAATACTGCAGCAGCCTTCTCAGAAGGGCGGCAAACATATCAGCTGAAATCCTCACCCCAAATGTTTCCCTCAACTCTACCAAGGCAATCTCATCATCTCTCACCGTCCAAAACACTGTACAGAGCCTGAGGCTCTGAGCTGCCGAGACGGGTTCACCGGTTCTCTCTTTCTGCCTGACCAGTAGCGTTCTCAGTGTCCCTTGTCACACTCTCACTGTTCAAGGCGGCACCGCTACTAGTGGTTCTATGAATTTCGCCCTGCCCCATTCTAAAGTACTTCCCTCTTCTATTCGTGAATTCAACTCTCTCAGGGTAGCCTTCTCATCGTTACTGCCCAAAACACTAAAGAGCCTGAGCTGCCGAAACGGGTTTCCCACCACGCACCCAGTGGATACACCTAAAGTCTGCTCTTCACCGGTTCTCTCATTCCGCCTGACCAGTAGTGTTCTCACTACCCCTTGTCACACTCCCACTGTTCAAGGTGGCACTACTACTAGTTCCGTGAATTTCGTCCTGACTCACTCTAAAATATCTTACCAAGCCAAGTAATTCCCCTAGTACCCAGCTTAGCAAAGGGCTTAGCCAACCAGGCATGCAATACTCAACCGAACATCAGCTAAGTCATTTGCAGTCTAATAAACATGAGTTCAATCCGTATAAAGGAAATTATCGCTATCGCTTTCGGCCGACCTTCCCCGACTTCGACCCTCAAAAGCGTGTGCTAAGGCAACACTATAAAATGCCCACCAAAGCGATCTCCTGACACAGGCTCAAATTTAGGACAAAGGTCGAATAAGGGAAACCCGTGAATCTAGCCTGTTCTGGCCAACAGATGTATGACGCTATGGGTCTAACCATCAGAGAGCCTGCTCACCTAATTAGATGTAACCAACCAATACGGCCAAATACTAAGCATATGCATTCAAAACAGTGAATCTATTATAGTCAATGCCAGAAGCAAAACCTCTGGATTTGGACATTCCTTGGGATCACATGCTCGCAGAACTTCCAGCTCGCTCCCACCGATGCTGCGGACTCTCCCACTGTCCACCACATCGCCGCTCCGGGTCGTTCTTCCTGTAGCAGAGCTAGTAGTTCTTGATCAGTGCCTTCTGCTAGATAAGTTCGCCCGAAACTTGGACCTGCTCTTCGCAGGCACGATCCGTAAAGTTGTTGCCTCACCAATTTAATTAGGGCAAAAGAGAGCATTTGGGTGGTTTCCAACTTTCCAGAAGTTTCTTGTTGCCATTGTTGGTAAGTATAGGAGCCTTGAGTCGGCGAGGAGATCGCCTGGGGTCCATATTCCCGAGTGCAAAAGCACTCCCCCTCCAACCAAGAAGAAGTTGAGATATGAACTGTAATAATGAACAACAGAACGTCTTCCAGTCGAGGCGCCCATCTTTCCACAACGCGTGACATCAAACTCGACGAGCACTCCTACCGTCAAGCATCAGCCAACCGTGAAGCGGTAAGCTGCCGCTAATTCTATACCAAATTAGCGCCGGTTTAGCGCTCACGCCGCACTACCTATCGCTTGCCGGTTCTCCCTCCTCTTCGGGTGTTTTCCTTCATCTGTTTGCATCACTTGATCTTGGTTACATCATTGCTGTATGTGTGTTCCTATCACCTTCTGTTACCATCTATCTTATAAGGGGAGCTGGGCCCGGTTCTCTTTTTTCTTTTTTTTTTGGGCCCGGTTCTCAGCTTATGCCGCTCCCCACGAATAGATCGGAGCACTGTTTATAACTAACATTTCGTTAAAACTGAGATTTCTTTCCAAATTCGTGGAAGTGGACTTAGTCAAAATTTCATTGCTCATCTCACTTTGTCCATCTGATGCACCTCAACGTAAAGTACCGTTAACATACATCCGATGGTCAGATCATCGGGAGTCGCCGCGACACCCGATGATCTGATCATCCGACGTCATGGGGACAAAAAAACACTAAAAAATGTTGTTTTTTTGTGCGCTCAATTTCATGGATTTAGAAAAAAATGTCAGTTTTAACGAATGTCAGTTTCATATTAAAAAAAAAAAAAAAAAAGGAAAACACGGACCGGGCCTAGCCACATGGCACACGAAATGAAAAAGGGCGAATGCACCTTCCCACTGAGGGTGTCGACATCCATTTGTTTCTATGAATAGCAAGTGCCGTCTTCCGTGGGAAGATGGAGAGCCCCTCGTGCTCTCCGTCAGAATGACGAGACCAAATAAAAAAAAAAAAAAAAAAAAAAAAGAATGACGAGACCAAAACACTAAGGGTGAAGGGCGAAGGGGGACTGTCCAAGCGATCCAGTAGCGCCTTGTGTGCGCTAATTCAGCGCTAGCCCGCAATGCGGACCAGCGGTGGATTGTCGAAACCTGGGCCGGACGGCGCTTGGGGAGCAAGTGGTCGCCTCGAGCCCGTACGACGCAGTGAGGGAAGAGACGACCCTTCTACGGTAGCCGACATAGCTGAGCTATGTCGACGTGAGACTATACCCGAACTGCCCCTTGATTGGGGTAGGAACGCCAGTGCGTTCAGTGGTATGGCCCCCGGACGACTGCCCTGACAGCCTGATCGCAATGAATCACAAACTCACCTATCTGAAGCTAAGGACGAAAAAGACCCAGTTTCCTCGACATTTTCGAAGTTGTTGATTGCTCGTGCCTGCTGGACCAGGCCCGAGACAAAGAAGGGCGTGGCAAAATCCAGACAGAGGATATTACGCTAAGCATGGAAGACGGAGCGGCGCATCTGGACGCTGTGGGAGAGCAGGCGGATGCGGTGGCGGCGCTTCGGCAGGTCCAAGGCCTACAGCACGCCTCGGTTAATTTCTAAACCGAAAGGCAGTTGGTCGTTCACTTATTGCATGTTTGTTTTATTTAGGTCATGGCATCCGTTCTATATGGTTTGTTTGGGTTTCCATTCCTGTTAAGTGTCGGCTATACGTATTAGGCACTAGGTTCTTACATTTCGTTATGGATTTCAGGGAGAGTGGACTCTAGATGTTCACCTCTTTCCTGTCATTCAGAGATGGGTTATTCGTGTAGTGCTTTCTGTTAGTTAACTRAAGTGGGGTTTTAATTAATTAACGCTCATTTATTTCCTAACCCTTTCCTGGCGTGGAGGCTCCCCTTAGTGTTTCGTTTTTAGAAACACGTATTGTTGGAATAATTTACAATTGAGAGAAAGGGATAATAGTTTTCTGAGATGTATGGGTGTAACTTCGTGACTTTCGTTCCTTGTATGTTGTAGGAATGTCTGCCTCTTGATAGATGTATGGGGATAACTTCATGACTTTAGTTCCTTGTTTGTTGTAGGAATTTCTGCCTCTTGATAAGGTTGGTTTCTTCGTGAGAAGAGTTAGTACGAAGGAGCAGGGGGAACACCAATGGTTGGATGATTCGAGAGACCCGGGGAAGAGCAAACTAGAGTTGTATCCATTGGGTGCGTGGTGGGAAACCCATCTTGGCAACGAAGGCTCTTTACAGTGTTCTGGACAGTGATGATGAGAAGGCATCCCTACAGCTCATTCCTTGTCGACAGTGGCACTACAGGGGCAGGGTGAGTGCCATCGTTAGTGGTGGGTCCGTTAGTCGAGTATAATTAGCGGAAGAATAGTTAGCACGAGGGAGCAGTGCGAACACCAATAGTTGGATGATACGAGAAACCCGGTGAAGAGCAGACTAGAGTTGTATCCATTGAGTGCGTGGTGGGAAACCCATCTTGGCAACAAAGGCCCTTTACAGTGTTCTGGACAGTGATGATGAGAAGGTATCCCTATAGCTCTTTCCTTATCGACAGCACCACTACGGGGGCAGTGTGAGGGCCATCGCTAGTGGTGGGACCGTCAGTCAATTATAGTTAGTATAAGAACAGTTAGCACGAGGGAGCAGTGGGAAGTTGGGAACACCAATGGTGGGAGGATACGAGAGACCCGGTGAAGAGCAAACTAGAGTTATACCCTTTGGGTTTTAGTGGGAAACCCATCTTGGCAACGAAGGCTCTTTACAGTGTCTTGGACAGTGACGATGAGAAGGTACCCCTGCGGTTTATCCTTTACCGACAGCGGCACCACTACGTGGGCAGTGTGAGTGCCATCGATAGTGGTGGGACCGTCAGTGGATCATAGTTAGTATAAGAATAGTTCGCAAGAGGGAGCAGTGGAACACCAATGGTTCAAAAATGAGAAACCAGGTGAAGAGCAGACTAGAGTTGTATCCACTGGGTACGTGGTGGGAAACCCGTCTTGGCAACAAAGGCTCTTTACAGTGTATGGGACAGTGAGGATGAGATGGTATTCCTTCGGCTCACCCTTTATCGACAGCGGCACTACGGGGGCAGTGTGAGTGCCATCATTAGTGGTCGGACCGTGAGGATGAGATGGTATTCCTTCGGCTCACCCTTTATCGACAGGGGCACTACCAGGGCAGTGTGAGTGCCATCGTTAGTGGTCGGACCGTCAGTCAACTATAGTTAGTATAAGAATAGTTAGTTCTAGTTATCGAGATTCTTTTCTTAGTCTGATATATCTTGGAATTTAGATTGGGTGTTTTTTAAATGTTTATTTCTGAAGACAATATTAGGACGCCCAGTTGAAGTAGTACATACTTGGTTGGAATTTTGGGATAATTGAGTTTGCCCTTATAAATTTTAGGGTTAAAACTGTAAATTTCCGTGAATTGCCTGGTGCATCTTTGAGATTTGCAGATCATATTTCGTAGTTCTTTGCTAATAGTGTTTCTATCTTAGAAACATGCAGGTGTTCTTCTGCGCTGCAAGGATATTACATGATAGGCTGAAGGATGGGAGAGTTAAGTCAGGATTAGTTCAGCCGCCTTTTTCTGTACTTCCAGCTATTTTGGAATTTTTCCTTCCTTTTGAGGTTGAGTGGTTTTGGGACGCTGCACCCGGTTTCCAGCAACTTTTCCTTGCAACACCGGGTAGAATTGTGAGGACCCCGGCCTCGACCACTCTTGTTTTAAATATAAAGACAACTTCTCAAAAAAAAGAAAAAAAAGAAGAAAAAAGAGGGTGAATAATGGATTTTTTTATTTTTATTTTTGGGAAGAAAATGGATTATAGGCCTCAACTGCCCACAAATGTGAAAAATGAGAATAGTTCCTCTAGAAAATCGAAAGATACACCGCCATTACCTCCCCATATTCTGTCTTTTGTGCGTGTGGTGCGTAGAGCACGGAGGCCCTACAGACTAGGCCGACGATGCCCTTCACTTGAGGGACAACAGAATTGTGGCTATCCTAATTGTATCTGACAGAAATTGCGGCCGCATCTCTATGCATCCGACTGCAATCGCGTCCACACACAGATCAGTCGACAAAGTTAAGTCTGGGTACGGCCTTAAATGATAACCACCCCCAGCGAATAGCGCGTTCAGCGTGGGAATGTTTACTGAGGGCTACTCACAACTAGCGCTTTCCAATTATTGCCGGACGTAATTAAGGTCAGATACATCCACGCCCGGCCGTAAATGCGGTCAGGCACATTTAAGATAGCGAGAGTGAGTGCGCCCGGAGACTGGGTACATGCATTTCTCACGACAAAAAAGGAGAACGGCGAAGGTAACAAAAGCACACCACCTGATTACAACATATCCTCCACATAAAAGTTTGCTCTCTTCTCTCTCTCTCTCTCCCTCTCTCTCTCTCTCTCTCCTACACTTCAAAGACCACGTTGTGCTTCCGTCCCTGTGCCTTTCTCCCCCCCCACCTCTCCCCCCGTCCACACACACACACACACACACACAAACACGGACACACATCCAACCTCCTGATATTAACCCGCTTAAGAGCCGATGACAGTCCGACAAAACAGTCTGGCACAGTCATGCTCTTTTCTGTGGCGTTGTGTATAGCGAATATGACAACACACACACACACACACACACACACACACACACACACACACACATACACGTGCATACACGCGCATACAGACGCTAGCCTTCCTGCCGGTTAGCCTTCCTGCCGGTATAAGTGAGCGAGCGGCTTCATGCAACAAAACGGTCTGAAGTTTTCCTTGCAGACGAGTATCCAAGGGACACCTGCCGACACCCCTTGAATGATATGGTTCTCCTCCATGCCGGCAATGCTTAGGTGATGTCCACGGGAGAAACAAAAGCGTCCAAGCGCTCGACACCGCCGAGAGCCATCGATTCATTCAAGCCCCGATACCTATCTCTGCAAAGTAGACGAAAGACGACTCTCTCCAGACATGAGTTGTCCTCCTCCCTTCCCTCCCTTCCCTCCCTTCCCTTCTTCCCCCGTCCTTTCACATACTGAACCCGAAACTATTCTTCCGCACTCCCTCTCCCTCTACCTCCACCCCAACCGCTTGTCGCAATAATAGACTACCGCAATGGACAGGGGATAGAGCATCAGAACCATGACAGCGGTCAGCGACGAGACAGTCTTCCGTGAATAGCCGATGAGTCCGACGACAACCACTGTGATGAGGATGACGAGCGATTCACTGGAGAACTCCCAGGACAGGTGGCGCACATAGATGAGCGTAAGGAAGATGGCCAAGCACAGAGTATTGTTCATGGCTACGGATCCGTAGGCCTGACCGAGTGCAAGAGAGATAGACCTTTTCCTCTTCCTGGTAGCGAAGTTGAAGGACGACACAAGCTCGCTTGAGCTCGAGGCTATGGGTGCCACAACAAATGCCACGAAGAAGCGTGGAATACCCGAGGCCCGAGAGAAGGCGCTTATGGAGCTCACCAGAGGACCAGCAAATATGGCGACAAGAGTGGTTCCTAGCAACATATACCAACTAGCCCACGAGTACACTTGTGCTGGAGTCATTCTCGTCTTCTTCTTGTTGTCTCGCTTCTTGGACATCCTCCTCTCCCTCTCCGTGCTAGCATCCGTGCCGTCGGCTCTAAAGTCTTCTCCTCCTCCTCCTCCGTCCTCATTCTCTCTCCTTTCTTCCTCATGACCACCATCTCCTTCTCCTCCTTCTTCGTCTTCCGTGTCACCATCCGTCACCTCCATCATCATATCATCTTCTTCGTCCGCATCTCCTCCTCCTCCTGCTCCTTCCTCCTGGCGTAGCTCAGCGTACCGTTCTCGCGCTCTCTCCGACTGCGTCCGCCAGTAGCTTGTCCGGCCCAGATTGACAGCGTCCACGCGATCGAACGTCCGCTTTGTATCGATGAAGCTGACGATGGCCGACACGAACTCGTCTTTCTTGGTAAGTCTGTCCATATCCCGATCCATGGAGGCGAAGAGTGCAGAGACCCTTTCGCTGGCATCGGTCTTCATGAGGTCGGGAGCAAGACCGAGCAGCAAGGCCTTCATCTCTGCCATGTTCAGCTGGCCATCCTTATCCGAGTCAGCGGCGTCGAACAGCCTCTCGATGGCATAGCGGTTAGGCCGACCATTGGGCTTGACCAACCCTCCGTAAGTGATGCTGTGCTCAGCTATTCCCCTAAGGAACTCGTCTCGCAGCCAATTAATCCTAGCTTGCCTGATCCTCTTCTTCTGCAGCCATGGATTAGTCACCTGGTACACACAGTAGGCTCCAAAGCCGACCCATGCAAGGACCAGAGCCATAGCATCGGCTGCTCGCTCCTTCTCCTCCCTCTTCCCAGCCATCAACGGCAGCTGCAACACCACATAAGGCAGGCAAGTGAGGATCATGATGCCCGCACCCACACGCGTATCGTCATCGACAGTGACTCCGGTCCGAGTAAGAGACCACGGGACCGCAAGCTTCTTCTCCTGGGCCTCTCCGCGTGGACCTGTCAGATCACACCGGCCAGCTATCACGAAACCCGCCCAGCCGATGGTCATCAACACCACAATGCTTCCCGCCAACACCCCCACTCCCACCGAGACCTGCTTCTGAGCCGTCTCTCTATCCCCACCAACACCGGATGCCAAGATAAGGAGGGAATCTGGAAACGCTCCCAGTACGGGCAAGATCAGCCCACCAATCAAACCGGGGCTCAAGACCCGAAGCAGGAGATCACTCCCTTTCGAGATGAATCTAGCTGCATACAGTACAATGGCTCCATACGCCCCCATCAGGAACAGATTGCCGCCCACGTTCTTGGAACAAGGGAGGAACCCATAAGGCTCAGGACAAGTCACATCCTCCCCTCCTCGATTCCTCCCCAACAGCAGCAGCGTTTCTGACTCTTTTCCCCCGTCCTCGGACTCTTCGCTATCATACACTTCGAAATTCTGTATTCTCACCTCCTCCTCCTCCTCCTCCTCCTCCTCCTCCCTCTCCTTCTCCTCCCTTAACTGGTCATCATTCCCCCACAACCCTTGATCGTTGACTCCTTCGACGGGTGCAATCACCCCGACTTTCCTCAGATAGTTTGCAGCTTTAGCTCTACTACTCGAGTCAACGACGATCCTCCCACGTGACTGCCCGTGGTTATCCAATCGTCGGTCGTTGCTGCCCGTGGCCACCCAGTCCACTCGCTCGCCGAAGTCAACAGTTGACCGTCCCAGGCTTGCGGCTTGATCATCGTCGTCCTCTTCTTGCACTTGTCGGTCTCCTTCCCTTCCCCTTCTCACCAGTGTTCTCTGTCCTCCTCCCCCACCTCCCCCACCTCCTCCTCTTTCTCTTGGCTTTGTCAATGTCACTGTGTCGTACATGCCCAAGGCCACGGCCGACTTCGTCGTCATCACCAGAGCGACCAGAATTGCAATCCACCAACTCCGGGCCATGGCGTCCAGCTAGCCTCCCGCCGTTGCGCTCCTTCACGCTTGTTCCAATTGGTAGCCTTAGACCAATGCGTCTCCGCGCACCGCTATTTCTTACCGCCGATATCCCCATCCGCTTCCCCACCCGGCGCACGTCTACATTTATTTATCTGCCAGCAGCTTATCACCCAGAAGAGATGTGCCCCCATAACATGAAATTGTCGCATGCATTCTGAATATTTTGGAAGGCTTGAACGTATGACCTGTTTCTTTGTCGACTGTTACAGTACATGTGTCTGGTCATTCAGTCACGTGCGCTGGGAGCATGCCTTTCTTACCGTCGATAGCAGACTCTGAGGTAACCGTCTAACAGCAGCTGTCGTTGGGGAAAATTTCAGAGTACATACAGCGACAATGACCCTGCGTTTGGTTCGGGTGAAGACGGTAGTTAAGGGCCTGAGCGGTCGTGACCTGTGACCTGCGACATGTCGCACCTACTTTTGCTTCCCGAGCGTTTCCAAGCGAACACGCGGCCCCGGCGAGATGGACGGACTAAGAAGAGATCGTCGTTGATGTTCGGAATAGATGCGCAACATCGTGCAAGAGCACTTCAACGACATCATGGGCAGCCCACCAGGAGCCTGCACGTACGTTTCACGTCCCGAGCGTTTTCAGGCACAACACCTGTTTCATCCTACCTATACCAATCTAACCGTGAAGACCGACTACCTATTACCACTACCTTCCCAGGGCTCCCGGTTTTTTTTTTTTTTAAAGCTATATTCTTCTCTCAATTTCACCTCAAACTACCTACCTACCACTACTCCTAATTGTAGGCACACGGGGAGCCCCGTAGCAGCCAGAACCGTGTTCATGAGAGAACATGCGGGGGCTGCTCCCGACCTGCAGCTCCCCGTTGTTTTTTTTTTTTTTTTTTTTTTTATTTTTCTCTCAACTTCTGTTTTTTTGCCTTTCACTACCTACTCCTAAGGCTATCTAGAGGGGACCCCTGCAAGCGTAGTTTCCTCTCACTGTGAAGGGGAGATTTCATGTTGCCCCTTATGGTTAGGGTATAGGGTTGGGGCCGCCAGTGGTGGTCTGGCCAACACAAAGATCGAGACCAGGGCTCCCGTTTTTCACTCAAGTGCGGGCTAATCCTCTCCGAACTTTTTCTTCTTTTTTTTTTTCCCTTTTTTTGCCTAGTTGAAGATGCGAACCTGCAAATGCTATTCAGCGGCCGAGCGCGGTCGGTTAGGCACGCAAGTGGCATTCAGGAGGTTGTGGGTTTGAGCCCTCGGCACGAACGTGGCATTCAGGACGTTGTGGGTTCGAGCCCCATGATGCCTGTGGCACGCTTAGTGCCAACATTGTGATAGTGGGCTAGTAGCGTCTATGAACAAGACGGGTGTGAGTGCGAGATTGAGTGGGTGGTGTGTAGGAGTGTGTTGGCCATAGCCACTGCTGCTACTCGATGGGGGGGTTGTGGGTGCAGCTACTGGCTTTTTTTTTTTTTTTTTTTTGTAAAAGCCCATATTGTTGCAGAGGTGGGATACTAGACAGATGACAGTCACCCACAGTAATCGGCCACTCGCTTGTCCAGATGAACCCCTCGGAAGACCCCACCCACCCTTCCTCTCATCTTTTTGTCCTGGTGCACCCCCACCCCCCCTGTCCTACCCTAGTGTTAACCACCCAGGACCATCACCCATCACCATCTTGGCCGGGTGGCCTAATAAGACAGCAGTTGCAGGCTTTGCCGTACCCCCGTTCACCGTTCACGGGGTCTGTGGATGGAGACCGGTCATGGAGTTCACGGAGTTCACGACACCGGAGTTCATAGAGTTCACGGAAAGCGGTTT